TCTTTACTAGAAAGCAACACTACAGTAAACATTTTTGTCTCTTTGCACACATGTGCAAGTATTTCTTCAGAAGTAGAATTGTTCGATTGGCGTTTGCGCCCATTTTTTTACTTTATTGTATAATGCCAAGTTGTTTTCCAAAGTGATTAAATCAATTTACATTCCCACTAGTGGTGTGTGTGAATCCTTGGTTCTCCACAATCCTTTCTAACATTTGGTTTTATCAGAATTTTAAGGTTTTTTTAATCTTATAGGAATAAAATGTGGGTGTATTTCCATTTCCATGTTTGTGGTGAAGTTGTACATCTTTTCCTATAGTTGTTGATCATAGCAATTTCTTCTGTGAATTATTGTACATATCATTTGCTTATTTTTCTATTGTATATTCTTTAAAAAGTTTTAGAGAATTTTATTATGTTCCATATACTAATGCTTTGCTTCTTTTATGTACTACAAATATTTTCTTCTAGGCTTTGATTTGTCCTTTTGCTTTTTCTAAGATGTCTGTTATTGTATTGAAATTTTTAACTTTGATGTAGTTCAATTTACATATATATGTAAATATGTATATATATATATTTTAACATTTGTCCTTTTGGGGCCTTACTTAAGAAATCCTTTCCTAATTTGCCATACATATCCATGAGTTTTGACAAATTTTGTCTTGAGTCATTCTGGATGGAAGTAGCTTCTAAATTCCAATTGTGAGAAGCATGTGAAGGACATTAGTCATTGAGCTTTTAGGATAAAACATGCCTTATATGTTGTGATACCAATCTTGGTAATACAGACATAATGCCATTGATGTGCTTGGAAAAGCTACAGTGAGACTGGATAAAAAGGATGTTTGTTAGGAATTAGCTGCATTTTCCTCCTGTGGTTAAGAGCTTTAAATAATAGTGATACCATCCTGCTTCCTGACACATATGTAAAGGCATTAATGAATGTCTTTCTTTGTCAAAAAAAAAAAATCCTTTCCTATTATAAGGTCATAAAGATATTATCTTATATTTCTAAAAGTTTAAATGTTTTATTTAAGCAGTTATTTTTTTTTTTTCAAAAAAATCTTCTAAAGTCTTTCTGTGTGTATGGTGTAAGGTAAGAGTCTCATATATTATCTTTCCCCTCACGATAACCTTATGGTGTAGGCATTATTCCTATTTCATAGACAGGAAAACCAGAATGTAGATAGGTGACTTGCATTGGTAGTAAAAGGCAGCAGAGCCAAGACTTTAATCCAAGTTTGGTCTCCAAAGGCCAGGCTGTTTCCCATGTGGCACGCTGCTGTGTTCCAGGAGACCAGGTGCAAACATGCATAATAGTTTATTTCTCAAGCAATTTTTCTGTCCATTATTGTGGAGGATATCACCTATCCCTAGGTGCATCCTAGGATGGAGAATCTGAGGTTAGCTCATTTTCATTCGAGGGTAGAAATTCAGGTCCATTTGGTCAAGGATCCTCCAAGCCATATCTGGCTTGAAGCATCAGCGCCCAGTGACCAAACTTCAGCTGAACTTGCACCACAGAAGGGAGGAAGTGGCCTTGGCCATCATTGATTCTGGGGATCTGATCTATGTATTTAAGATCCTCTCTCTTTCTCTCTTGTGGCTCAGTTTTTCCCTGGAGATGAATATGGTAGAATTACGACAGAAAGAAGCGTACTGAAGAGTTAAACGCAGCTATTTATAGCACGTTACTGCTTTTCTTATCGCCTTATAAGATTGCTTCATCTTCATCAAAAAGTCCCAAAACAATAAATGTTGGCATGGATGCGGAGAGATAGGAACCCTCAGACACTGCGGGTGGGACTGCAAACTAGTTCAACCTCTGTGGAAAGTAATATGGAGATACCTCAAAGAGATACAAGTAGATCTACCATTTGATCCAGCAATCCCATTACTGGGCATCTACCCCAAAGAACAAAAGACACTGTATAAAAAAGACATCTGCACTTGAATGTATATAGCAGCACAATTCACAATTGCAAATATGTGGAAACAACTCAAGTGCCCATCAGTACATGAGTTGATTAATAAAATGTGGTATATGTATATCATGGAGTTCTGCTCAGCCACAAAAAACAGTGGTGATATAGCACCTCTTTTATTATCCTGGATAGAGCTAGAGCCCATTCTACTAAGTGAACTGTTAAAAGAGTGAAAAAATAAGCATCACATGAACTCAACATTAATTGGTTTTAACTGATCAACACTTAAGCGCACATACAGTAATAGCATTTATTGAGTCTTAGGCAGATGGAAGGGGGCAGGAAGGGATGGGTATATTCACACCTAATGGGTATGGTGTGCACAGGCTGAGGGATGGACATGCTTGAAGCTCTGATTCTGGTGGGGCAAAGGCAATAAATGTAACCTAAACATTTGTACCCCCATCATGTGCTGAAATAAAAAAACAGCAGAAAGAAACGAAAAAAAAAAAGACTGCTTCATAATATAAGTCTATTAGCTGTTTTTTCTGTAATTTTTGTTGCAAATATTTCTTCAGATTTGTCATTTTTCTCTTTTATTTTATCTGTGACATACTTTTTTGTGCAATCAAATCTATCGATTCCCCCCATTATTTCTCCTATTATTTTAATGCTTAGAATGCCTTTACTTTACTTTAGAAAGCCTTTACTTGCCTCGGATCAGTTAAAGTCACATATAGTTTCTTTTTTTTCTTTTTCTTTTTTGTTAAACTTCTCATGGATAAATTTATTTTTGGACTCCCAATTTGTTTCATCTATTCTCTGTTCTCTTGCAATATCATACTATTTTAATAATTGCAGTTTTGAGTATGTTTTAATTCCTGTTGCACATATCGTTCCCTTTAGAAAGTTTTCTTTAAAATTTGTTTTTCATCATATAAACAAGATTTTTGATTAAAAATTTTTTTAGACAGTACAGTAACATGAAAAGAAACTCCCCTCTCTTCTTCCCAATCTTCATCTCTACTCCACAGAGGTAGCCACTGTTAACGGTTTCTCCGTTATCAGTTCCATATATTGTCATGAAGGTAACGCACAAATAGAATTCAAAACAACTGGTCATTTAGTGGACTTGTTCTGTCGTCTCAGACGTGCTTATCCCAAAGCTGAGGACTATTTGCTTTAATTTCCCTCCACTCCTAAGGAAGTTGCTAGGTGATCCTGCAAACCTCACCAAGAGGCTACCAAACCGGCCCTGTAGCCACCTCCCCTGTGCCCTCCTGACCTATATGAGCAGAGGCCAGAAAGGCTGTGGGAGAATTTGTCCAGGGCAGGTGTTCTTCATCTGTCCATAGGGGTTGTGATAGAATTCAGGAGATTCATGAACGTGGATGGGAAAAACATTCCATCCTTCACTATCCTCTGCCAAAATGTAGCATTTCCTTTGAGCATGAACATAGGCAACAAACTCCAGTAGTATTAGCAACAACTGTAACTTGTCACTGACAGAAAACACAGGTGTTTTCATATCACATCCAGTTGCTGCCAATGCCTCAAATATCATTTATGCTCATCACTACTTAGAAATTATGGTTACAACTTGTTATATATTGTGCCAATAAAGCATCATCTAAGTGACATAAGGCAGACACAGAAGGACAAATATGGCATCATCTCACTTATATGAGGAATCAGAAATAGTCAAACATAGAAGCAGAGAGTGGAATGGTGGTTGCCAGGGGTTGGGGGAGGGGGATGTGGGAGGTACTGGTCAAAAGGCACTAAGTTTCACTTTATATAAGATGAATAAGCTCTAGAGATCTACCATATAACATAGTGTCTGCAGTTGCCAGTACTTTATTGCATACTTAGAAACTTGCTTAGGTCAGGTCTGGTGGCTCACGCCTGAAATCCCAGCACTTTGGGAGGCTGAGGTGGGATGATTGCTTGAGGCCAGGAGTTCAAGACCAGTTTGGGCAATATAGCAAGACCTATCTCTAAAATAATAAACATACACAAATACAAAAATAATTTAGAGGGCCAGGGGATGGGCTGGGGATGAAGAAGAGGCCAGACTTTGAGCGACGGCAACACAAGATGGCAGCCACCAAGGGCTTGGGAGTAAAAGTCCCTTGTAATTTCTGCTGTTGGAAGAACTCAGAGAAGGCCCAAAAGGAGTAGCAGATGGCACAGTTGGCTGGGGGTTAGGAGACGACAGAGACATGACATAAGATGGACAGCGATGATAATTGGGCCTCCAAGAACAATTTATAAAAACCAAATATACAGCCTTAAAATAGAATGTGGACCTAAATACCCAGAAGCACCCCACCTTTGTAAGAATAGTAACAAAAATTAAGATGAGTGGAGTTAATCGTTCTAATGGAGTGGTTGACCTAGGAGCCATATCAGTGCTAGCAAGACGTCAGAATTCACACAGCATCAAATTTGTCCTGCAAAAGTTTCCGAGCCTAATGATGCCTAAAGAAAACATGAAACTCCCTCAGCCACCTGGAGGATAGTCTTACAAGCAATTAATCGGCAACAAAAACCACAGGCTCTTCGGCTTTTCCCCTATTCAACTTTTAGGCAGTCTTCACTTTCCATGGTGGTAAATGTTCTAGATACATCTTAACAGACTTCCAAGTACTGGAAAGGAAGCTCCGATTCAAAGGCAATTTATCTTAAGATACTGTAAATGATATATTTTGTCCATTTGAAATATATAAGTTGTGCTATAACATACCAAAAATAACTTGCTAAGAGGGTAGAGCTTAGATGTTAAGTGCTCTCATCACACACACAAATAAAAGAAGTAAACACAGAAATAAAGAGGGTGGGAGGAAACTTTTGGGGGCGATGGATATGTTCATTATACAGATTGTGGTGATGTTTTCGAGAGGGGGTGCTTATCTCCAAACTCATTAAGTTGTATACATTACATATGTACAGCTTTTTGTATGTCAATTCTATCCTGATAAAGTGGTTTGTAAAAAAGAGTTATTATTAGCGTACAGATTTTAAAATGATTTAGATAACCTCGTTTCAATATAATTGGTTTCCTTTGTAATTCTGAATTGTTTATTTTATTAACTTAAAAACATTATTCTACGAAGGGGTTCATAAGCTTCACCAGACTGTCAAAGGGATCCAAGCACAGGAAAGATCTAGAGGGAGGGCGTGGTTCAGGGTGTTTCTGCTGTTGGCCCAGCACACCGGTGAGGGAGTGAGGGACGCCCCACTGGGCAGGCAGGGCGAGGGCGCGGCCTACCTGTGAGCCGGGAGCCCGCCGAGGCCCGCTCTGCGCGCTGCTGGCCGAGAGGCGGGAGTCTGAGGGTCCGTCCGGGTGCGGCCACTGACAAGACAGCGAGAAAGTTCCTGAGAGGGGTGAACCTGTGCCCCGGCCTCCCCTAGAGCTTAGAGGTGTGCGTGAACATAGAAACTGGTCCCCACTCTTCATCTAGAGAATTCTGAGTGCGAAGGTCTTGCTGGCGCAGCGCGCGCTGGCAGCACTGGGACAGGCGGGCAGCGGGGAGAAGGGGGCAGGGCGCGCGGGGACAGGCGGGCAGGGCGCGGGGAGAGGCGGGCAGGGCGCGGGGAGAGGCGGGCAGGGCGCGCGGGGAGAGGCGGGCAGGGCGCGCGGGGAGAGGCGGGCAGGGCGCGCGGGGAGAGGCGGGCAGCGGGCGCGGGGAGAGGCGGGCAGGGCGCGGGGAGAGGCGGGCAGCGGGCCGGCAGTCTAACAGAGTTGCCACTGGTCCCATTCAGCTGGAGAGGGTACCGAGCAGGTTATGAGCGCGCGCTCGCCATCCATTCTTGGAGCGATCGGCGGGCATGTCACGCCGCGCGCTCGTGAGCGAGCAGTAGCGGGCAGGGCGCGCCGAAGACACCAGAAGCCGCCCGGCTTGTGCAGAAGATGCCCCCCAACACTGATCTCAATAGCCAGCAGGCGAACTCTTGCTCGGTAAGCGACGCTCAACCCCCACTCCACCCACGGTCTTGCTACGTGACTCACACATATCTATGGAGCGCAGAAATCTGTAACCATCTGAATGTAGAGGAAAACTACCCTGAGAAGAGATGACCCAGAAGAGCCGGTGAGACGACAGTGACAGTGCGTGTGGCCAGACCCGCCATGAGCGGCGCTGGAGAACGCCTCACCCTGTAGTCACAATGTGTGCCTGAGGGCCTACTAGACCTGCACGAACCTCAATTGAATAATAACAGATCTTGCTAACACAATACTCCCTATTAACACACACATGCCTCCCTTGCCCCTCTGCTGGCACATCCTCTCAAGACTCAACCCTCACACAGTAAAGTGGTAAAGGATGACAGCGTCAACTCACAGAGGAAAGAAAATGCAAAAGGCGCAAACCAGGGTGGATGTTATTAGACACCTAAATCCCAAACCGATGCCCACCAAAAAGAACTACTGTTTCTGCCTAATTAGTTTTGAAATAATTTCAAATTTTAGGGAAAACCACGTGAAAGAACAGGTACAGAGAACCAAGATCCTGGCACACCCAGATTTCTCAATCACCAAAATTTTACCACATTCACTCCATCACCCTCTTTATCTCAACTGTTCCACTACAGAGAACCAGATCCTGGCAACCAGATTTCTCAAATCATCAATAATTATTACCCCACATTTGCCTTCATCACCTCTTTATCTGACTGTTCCCATTATAGCACTATTCGAGTAGCAATTTCTGACCTCAGACAACTGATCACCTCACTACCCCACAGAAGTGGTAGTGTTCCCCAAAACAAGAACACTCTCACATATACCACAATATACCCTAATTAGGGAATCAACATTAATATAGCCACCAGCCAATCCTCATCCACAGATCGCTATTATCATCATTCCCCCTAACAACATTCTTTTATACTTTTTCGGCGTCAGCATTGCTATGTCTCCTCCTTTCAGCCCTTTAACAAGTTTCTTAGTCTTTCCCCCATCCTTTCATGATGTTAACAATTCTAAAGAGCTTCCAGGCCTTCCACTCTTTGGGTGCCTTACCAGAGTCTATCAACTGTTTCCTCATCGCCTGACCCCAGGCTGGATTTTTGCCCCAGGAATACCCAACAGGAATGATGCTATGACCTTCTCAGATTCTCCATCAGGCAGGCACATGCACCACATAATCCACCACTGGGAATTTAGCCCTTGATCAGCGCTGGTCAATCACCCAGATTTCCCTCTGTAATAATAAATATTTTTGTGGGGGATTCCCAAGACTTTCAGTCAATATTCTGTTTCTCATCCCAAACCTCCATCCCCATGAAGCCTTCAGTATGACGCGTGACTAACTTCCCACATGAATCACCTAGCCTGCTACGGATGGTTAGCTA